TGTAGACTACTGTCTGTTTCACAAGTCCTTTTAGATTTCACTCAGAGCTCGCTTGGAGCCCGGGCAACTGTACAACAGCAAAAAAGCAAGCAAGGCAATGGTGCAGCCTTTCTTCCTGAGCCTGGAACCAAGGACTTAAAGCAAGGACACGTTATGCAAGATATCACATTCAATTCCGCTGCCAGCCTCTGAGGCCAGATGATACACATTGAGTGCGTCTGTCTCTCGAGCCCTCAATGTTAATCAACACTCTTTTCAATGCATACTTATGAGTTACAATCTACTCCCCACGTCTTCCCTTTGGCAGCTTAAATTAAGTCACAAATTTGATGGCAAATTAACTTCAACAGGGACGGTAATATGTCACCTATACAGCAGTCTGTGGCATTTCTTACCGGGACAACACAAATCTTGTGCATCTGAGAGGAAAATTAAATCAAACAAATTATTTTGGTGTGGAAGTCAAATTCAAGGAAACACAAGAAAGAAGGCGTCACGCGGTGGGGCCATCAGCTGTTAACAAATCAGTATGACAAAGCCTTGCATAATCGCCTAGTGAACCTTTATCACTGTGATCACAGAGCTGGAGATTTAAATGCACGCTGGTATTAGCTGTGACATACAGTCACAATACAGTTGAGGTGGGAGGAACACATGCTCAGACAGTGTGTGCATGTATGTATGTGTGTGTAAAAGGGAGGTGGATGTGGAACAAACAGAGATCTCCCCACTTCATCATTGAGTAAATGGCACCACAGACGTGAGCTGCGACTTCACAGCTGCCTCATGGCGGGTGACATTGAAGCCCACGCATGAACACATCGCTCATCAAAGCGAATGAGGCGTTCTTTGCTTCCCCTGCATGTGCTGAGGAAAACAATGGCAGCCCCCCCCTCAAGTGCATACTTGCACACCTGGAATGTCAAGAATGAGTGGAGATGGGAATGAAAAGGAGAAAAAAAAAAAATCTATTTGGTTTCATGCATCTCTCTCAAGAAGCTTAACAGACTGTGACCTTCCACTGCTTCGTAATGGGAAGGAAATGGCAAGACCCCGGTGCCATAAAACGACACAGAGCGGGTGCTAACGGTGGTTCTGCAATTAACCTGTCTTAAAAGAAACAAGAGGCTTTTGCTCTAACAACAGGCGCATACTTGAGAGAGTTGATTTCTGTGGCGTGAAACTCAAAGGCCCACCAGGGTTCAGGACTTAATCGGTCATTAGCGTGCACATTTCGGCACAGCTGCACCGAGATCTATGCAACTACAAGCTCACTCAAAGTGATCAAAACACAAAACAAAAAAGTCAAAACTCTTATGCATCTCTTCATAGACAAATAATATTTGTTTTAACACTGATCATAAAGTTTAAGCATGTAAGTAAAAACAGAATGAAGCAGTAAAATTGTGAACACCCATTTAAGACCATAAGTACATCCTCCTGTAAGTTCAGTCACATAGTTTGAACACAAAAGCTCCACTCTTTCTCCCCAACTGTCCTCTTTTCTCTAAGTGGAACCAGACGCAGGCATTTCTTCATTTAGCCCATTCAAATGGAGGCAAGTTGCTGTTCTTTATTTATTTAACAAAACGAGCTGCAGAAGCCAAACATTAGGTCATGGAATATTTTCAACCCCAGAAATAAGTCAATGCTTTCAATGAGACATCAAACCCAGTTTAAGTGTTCCCCTACAAAATATGAGCTGGTGAGGACCTTTGTCGAAGTCAAGTACTGCTGTGGGATTTTTCTGTTTTTTAAATACAACTTTCAACAGTGTGGTGCACATGCGTTTCCAATTAAGAGCTCAGAGCCAACATCCAAGACTGGGCCCCATTCACCCCTTCCACGATTGACCAAGACTGAGGAAATGTTAAACAGGCATCATAACCATAACAGAGACGGCAGAATGTTCAAAAGCCTTTACTTTCTAAACAATAATTAAGACATCCGTTTGAATTGATGATATAGACTGCAAACATCGCACAAAATCTAAATAAAGAAAAAGGGAACATACTTAATCATAACTTTGTGTGACACGTTCACAGCTAGGGCACTTAAGCATAACAATTTGTTCCTTTGGTGAATAGGTACAAAGCCTGCTTACAGTGCAAAGAAATAAAATATGTCAATGCTGTTGATTTGTGACGATCATAATGAGAATGCACGGTTTACACGAGGCACTCAGAGTAGGATCTACTTCCCTGGCAGCAGCAATAACTCCCTATGAGCCTGTCTCTGCTCAGACTTCAATCTCTGGGCCCTAAGGAGCTGTTGGAGGACTTTGATGTTCTGTCTAAATGAATTGACTGTGCTTCTTGATACAGCCCTCCAGTCAACTGACTCCCCCTACTGATTCTGTCACCTGTGATAAACACCATGCGTGCTTGGCGGTACCAAATTCTGGATCACATGCTCAGAAAGGCCACAGTTTTTCACCCCCTTCAACTTTGTAAATGACTGAAAAAAATATGATTGTTGTTTCCCACCGTGCCGTATCTGAGCAGAAGCCCTTTGATGTGTGAGGCTGTATGTGAGCAAGCAATGCTGGGCTGGTTTTTGTTACCTTACAGCCCTGCAACATCCAGTAGGTGAGCCTTTATGTCGGATGCCCCTTCAGGGCATGGTGTTTGTTAGAGCCTGGGCAAAGGCAACAACCTCCAACCCACTTCTATCATTGCATTTTTTTTCTTAGGGATCAGAGCCAGAGAGCTCTGCATACAAGCTTGCAACTTCACTGACTTGATCCAAACAAGATCTAAGGCTTATTGAGGAACACTGGTGCACAGCTAAGGAAGTACAAAATGTGTTGATACATCTACCTTGGGACTTCTAGTTTGTCACAATGTGTGCTTTGAATATGGATGAGAAGTGACAGGAGCCATAATGCATGGAAGATGAAAAAAAACAAAAAGAGTCCCAGTGCTAAAGATAGCACTGAGTGCAACCAATTGAGGACTGGCAAACACTGCAACGGATGATTTCGATCAAAGAGTGGGGCAGAGGCGGTGTTTAGAGGGAAACAATGCTTATCCATCTAAGCTTCAGCTTGGTCAATTCTCATTTGACTAAATCCAATTACCATCGATTCTGCATCTTCTTAAAGCCGAGGTTTAGGTTTTCCTTGATAGTGCAGAAATCCTAACTCAGATGAAGCGGCACTATTTAACCTATTACAGCCTCCGATGAAGCGGTTGGGTTTTGGAGGAAAGTACAAGTTCTACTGGCAAAGGCATTGATCCTCCCACACCCTGGGTTTTCCCAGTGTGTGCAGTGATTCCTGTGCAAAGCCTCTGAACACTTCTCTCTCTCCTCCAGCAGCGATGGTGCTCCTGAGCAAACCTGCCCTGGATCGAGCATCTCATTTAGTCACTGGGCCCTTTGATGTGGATTCAGTGCTGCAGTGCATATCATTCATGTTTGAAGGTTCAGCTTCCACAATACAGCAGGGTTTGAAGTTTCACATATTGCAAGTGCTACAATGTGATAATCTGGGAGCCGGTTATGCATTATACATTTTTCATAAAAGAACACCATCACCTGAAAGTGAAATGTGGAAAAGTCAGCGCTTCAAGGTATATATTGACAGAAACTGTTTCTGAGACTTCTGGGTGTGGGACGAAAACACTCTTGTTATCTTGAGCATTTCAGAATCAGCTCTACATCTTCCCGCGGAAGGGGGTAAATATCCAAATAAACAGAGCAGAATAACATTTGACTGGGGTCTGCCATGCCATATAAGACAGAATGATTTAGTTGACTAAACGCTTCTCACAGGGCACAGAGGCCATGACGACTCTTTCTCCAGCAACGGTCGAGCAATAAAAATATTCCTCTCCATCCGATTTCACAACGGCGTTGACACGCAACTTGGGTCACTTTCTTCAGTGTCTTCTTAAATAAAAATGTGGAAATCTCCTTGTCAAGGTCTCTGTCTGACTAGATTGCGGCTTTACTTAGTGTAATGACAAGAAAGGAGGAAATAATCTCTGTTAAAAATGTTGCCATTCAAATTTTCAAGGTAATTGACTCAAGTGGAAGAGTTCATCAGTCTTTAAAATCCAACTGCAACAAATGCACAAGATTTTTTAAAAAACAAGGGGAGGAATAAAATCAAGTTGGCAGTTAATGTCTGTGAGTGACTGAGGTTTATGTAAATGCTTTTGATCTTGATAATTAAAAAGTCTTTGTATGCGTGTCGTTTTAAAGTATGGTAACTGTCTCCAAAGCATGGAGATGGTGGCAGCCTGAGGGCCCGCCTGCTTTCTTTTCCTTCTCTCTGTATCTATCTTGTGCTAAACACACAAAACACACATAAAAATGCACACACGCACACACAAGCCCATGTGTACAAATACAAACTCTACACACTGGACTGACACATACAAACAAAAAACCCACACACAAGAAAGAGTCGGCACTTTCACAAACATCAGCCTCTCAATTAGCTTCTGCACTTATTTCTCCTCGGAAGAGAATTATTTTTCAGCTGGATGCTTTTCTTCTTTGTTTATTGTGAGCAGACCAAAGCATTATCAGCAGCTAATCACTGCATGTCAAATTCACAGACTTACTGCAGTCACTTAAAAAAAGGATTCAGTGAATAATCTTCTCATGTTCAGATTGCCATTTCAGATTTGGACAGTCACCAATTTTTCTTAGATGCTCAAGTCTATCTAACAGCCACGGAGAAGATCAGCATTTGTTTGATATAATTTGTTGTGACATGTTAATTGCATCTACTTGTAATTCTCTCTAATTGATGTTTGATATGTCTCAGGAAATTAGGCCAACTAGATAACACTGCAAATATTATGATTCCTCCCCACCTTTCTCTTTCCGTGGCAGGTCTGATGAATTCACAACACCTAAAACTGTAATGTGTCAACATGCTGTGCAGCTATGCTCTGTATTCCCAGGGCTGCCAGGCTGAAGGTTACAAGCATACCACTGTATATTTAAAACACATTCAGGCACACTGCAGAGTGCCAGAGAAGACTAACCTGAGCAATTTTCACAGAGTTTTGGGTCGAACCACCAGCATGGTATTCAACTTTGTTCCTCTTGACAATTTCTTCAAACCTGAAATAAAGATAAGTACAAGACTTGTTAAAAAAGACAACACTCAAAATGAACCACAGAGAGAACCTTAGTGTAAACACCAGATAACGGCCGCTTTTAGCATGGGCAGACTACACGTCTCTGAATACTTGTCACATTACAACATAGCAGGAGTGTGCGCCACAAATGAGTCAATAAAATCAATACAATAAAATATCCATTAGTAGAGGTTACACAGATACAGCTGAAGAGCCACTGTGAACAAAGAGGATGTCCGAGTGAAATATCTCAAAACTACTGGATAACCTGCCGTGAAATTTGGTATAAACATTTGTGGTGTAAAGAATGGCTCTGGTGATCCCTCAGCCTTTATATCACTATCAACATGTCATATTTTCTCTAATTCAAGACAGGATACGATAACCTAATTCCTGTGAGTCTCATGTTGTGATATGAACCAGAGTAACATAGCATGCTGAAATACTAATGATAGCATCACAACCTGCTAACATGCTAAACACATATTAAACACATCCTAGTATGGTTACATAACATCTTAAAGTTAGCAAACCAAAATGCCAGACTTAAAAAATAATAATTAGCATGATAAGGTGCTAACATTTGTCAACAATACATTAAGTATGCAGAATCTTTGCACACTAGAATGAAAACCTTAAATAAAGCTGCACTAATCAATATTTTCAGTTTAATATTTCTCCCAGGAGATGGTGGAAACCAAAACAGAGATAAAATGAGGGTTAATACTGGACTTTGGATGTTGCTCCATGTCTGCTTGATATGCTAACATTAGCAATTAACATTATCATGCTAACATGCTGGTGTTAACATTAAGATCATTAATAGGACAGTTGAGATTGGTATAGTGATAGTAAGTAACAAATTGTCAGGGTTAAGTTTTGTTCTTCTGGCTCATGGGGCTACTAGGCATGTTCGTTTTGTTTATTATCAAAATCACTTCTTATGGTTTAAGTCAGTGGTTATCTGACCACCACAGTATTGTCAGATGAACTAAGTACCCCTTCATTGACACTATAAAATGTGTTTTATAGTGTCAATATGATTTAACACTGGATTTTATTTAACACTATTAATTGTATAAAAAACTGATGTTTTCATACAATTTAACTGTCAATGTTTAGGTTAGTTTACTTGAGGCTGCATTTGTTCTACTATTACTTAGAGTAGCAACTAACTATTTCTACCATTTATGCGATACATTTAGCAATTTGGACTATTAATCCATTAGCTCTAACTAACTATTTCACACATACATATATCTATTACTTTTAGCTATTTCAATCATCTATCCATTACTTTTAGCTAATTCTAATAGTTAACTGTTTAGACAAATCTGCTTGCTTACTAATTTCCTGCACTCTTAATTGAAAGTGTTCAGATTTTATAGCTTACTCTATGTAAATATATATGTCTTATGAAAACATAATTTTCATGCATGGAGCTACTCTGCTCTGCACCCTTGTTGGGAATCACTTAGTTAAATAATCAAAATGTTTTGCTTTCCTTTCTGTCTTGGCTGTAAAGAAGATAGCAGTCATCTCTGCAGTATAATAAACTTGAAAGTGGCATCTACTGTGACATTCCAAGTGCAAGCTGTTTATATAAACTGCTGAAAAAGAGGTAGAAAAAAGCAGCAAGCAAATGCTGGATTTTGTTAAATGGGATACTTGACCACAAATGTTGCTGCAGTTGAAAAGAGGCAGTTAGGGTCTAAATGTCAGCTTGATAAAAGCAAAAGAGGAACATTGTCCACACATGGTTGTAGTTAGCCATACAGTATTAAAGCAAGATGAGCAGAGAAAGTTATTTCTGAGGAACTTGAACTGCTTCCTCAAAGGGATGCATGAAATAAAAGAAACTATTCATCTTTCACTTGGCAGAGACATGCAGCTATTTTATATTTCATAGGTGATGTTTCCAGAGATATTCAAAAAACAAGTTTTACCGTTTCTTTGTGTACAAAAACCTCAATAGCCAGATAACTTGTTTAGGAAGAAACCACATGTGATTAAATGCTTGATGTATGAACCATACAGCAAAGTTTAGAAATGACTGTAACAGACTAAACACAATGAGTCTAGAAACGGACTGACATTCAGGGGTGGGGAGTAAATAATTGCTTAGTTTTCCAATATAATACAAAAGGTACACCCTTGGGTCTACAGGGAACCGAAGCCTGGTTCTATCATTTTTGTATTTTCCCATCATACTGCCATTTCAAACATCAATAGCTTCAATGCTTAAGCGTAGCGCGATGCAAAGCTTGGCTACACAGAGATAGAGTCTTTATCTGGGGAGCTAAGAACATGAATAATGTGTATTCTCCACATCGTTCATACAAACAGCCTCCCAGGGGGCTGGCTATATAAACATACCCACCCTGCGAAGGAAATTGACCTAACTGCAGTCAGGATGATACAGTACGTTAGGAGGTCCTTGGCTTTTTTCTCTCAACAGTAAATTGACGACTGTCCATTTGTAAGTGTATTTACGTCAGGGGGGAAAAATCCAATGATATGGTAAATAGTTCAAGATGCACCATACCATTCCCTATGGTGTTTAGTGTAATTCCACTTTAAATGAACTGCATAAAAGTGGTTGTTGAGAAAATGCTTGAGTATAATCCCGAGAGGTGCTGGTTATGCAAAGGCTCGGCCAATGCATTTTCTTTTTTGGATTAAAAAAAACCAAACGTTTTCAGGCAAGGTCAAAGGTTGCAAATTTTGGGGTAGAAAACTTGAATTTTAAAGTTGAACCTAGAAATATATCATGTCTGTTGCATATACTCGCTGCAGACAGGAGTTATATGTATGCAAAATGCATCATGGCTTACCAACACATGTCAGCCAGGGGTGTTCAATACTTCAGCACAACCTGATTTAACTAGGCATGGCCGAATTTTGAGCGAGTGTGAAAGTAACCTTTACTGCTTCAAAGAAAGTCTGCATATCATGTCTCAAGGCAAGGGGTCTACCCAGGGCAGAATGTTCCTAATAAAGAAAAAAAAAAAAAGAAAGAAAAACTTTCCATGCAAGTGGAAAATATGCTAACCGGGAAAAAAATCCTTCCTGAGACACCTGTTATGACTCCTTGACAAAGGAAGAATTTGAGCACTGTGGGTGTTTATAACATGAAGGCAGCCGAGGGACTCCAGAACCCATTTCAAATAGACACACAGCTTCTGAGGATTTCAGTTTTTTTCCTTCCTAGAAGTATTTGCTCCACCTTTCAGTGCAGACAGCATGGGGCCCTGCTCTTGGATGCCTCGAAAATCCCATCCGAAAAGGAGCAGCTGCCTCGAGACCTTTACACCCTCAAACATCATGTGATCCCATAGCAATGACACCGTAAACGGCCCCTATGGCCATTTAGGACGAGAAAATCCCATTCCATCTACTGCAGTCTAAGCTTACTCTGTGATGGGAGGGAAGAGGGAAAAATAAATTGTTTTGAACAAAATGTCCTCAGCCAGTAACCTCTGCCTTTAAAACCTGCTGGTGTTTTTCCAATGGAAGAGCAATTCCAACTATGCCATGCATTCCACCAATGTATGGACAGGGTGTGTTATATAACACCATCCTTTACATAAGACTGCCCCTACAATCTGGTAAAATACAGCTCTTATACAAACAACAACAATTTCATACCTCCCAATTTGAGACTAATAGAGACACTTATTTATTCATCTTAAATCAAATTAGGGGAATTGGGCTACTGAATGGAATATTTGTATTCAGAGGATATGAGAGTCCTTCTCAAAAACTAATACCTCTACATCTCCCTGGCTTAAGACATTGAAATTGTTGGGGCAGATCACACAAGTCAGGAACATTGTGTTGTTTACATTCCTGGGGATGGGGCCCCCACCGTTGTTTCCCATCAAGGGAAATATGAGAGCTTCCAAAGTACTATGAGTGTTCTCTGCCCCGAGTGACTCATGAGTTCCTCTCTCACCTCCCCCAAAAAACGAGCCAAGTAGATTATTTACATGAGGCAATAATTCAAGATTTGCTCCTCTAAGTCTCTTACATGGAGGGCAAGGCGAGCCCATTTACCCAATCCCTCTTCATTCGCCTTTGATGTTAGCCAATCTTGATAAGACCGGATGAGTGCCCTAAAATCCCCGTCGAGTGATTTCACAGGAAGAACAAGTCTCTGTTAATCAATGGCTAGATTGGATCTGGATCCTCGGGAGTGGTCCGTGTGAAAGTCCTCCCGAGTGTTTGAGTGCACACCGGGGTAATTCATCGCTAATGATCACCGCGGCACCCACTCTCCTCCGTTCGTCCTTATTTAATTGCCTCGTTCACGTTTAAACAGCTTACAAATCACAAGGACAGGCAGGGAAACATGATCAAACAGCCCCTATCACTAATCAGGGGAGGGCAAGGAGAAGAAGTGAGATGACTGGGGGCTCCTTTGCTGCTCTCCTTGGGGATTAGGTAGAAGGAGGGCTCTACAGCAACAGTAAATTATCTCTGCTTCAGCTGCAGCAGCCAGGTACACTTAAACAGGCAGACACATCTTTCCCTCTGACAGAAGCAGAGAGGGGGCAAACACAGCTAAAAGGCTTTGGTAATCCCAGTTTCAACACAGGCATCAGGAGTGGAGACAGGTCCCACCATTGATTAGATTCCCAATCAGTGTGTGCATCCTACACCAGCCTTCCTTGGTAGTCTGGAGGCAGTACAAGGCCTGATGCACAGTAATTGTTTCCATAGGTCAGGCAGAGGAAAAACAGCTCGGGGATGTGATGAAAGGGAGATGAAAAGGGTGAAGAATATTGTTGTTTCCCCCCCCCCTCCAATTAAATTGTTTGTCAAACCCTTCACAAAGGGTTACGCAGTTTATCTGTTTAAAATCAATACGCTCGTCTCAGTGTGAAAGCTTGTCCCAACACAAGACAGGCCCATTAATTATTCTGTTCTGTGTGCTATCGCTGGGCTGCTCAAGGTTGAGCCTTATCTTTTCTTATTTCAAAT